GAAAAGAAATCCAGGCCACAGAGAACTGTCTCAAAGCAGCAACAATGTTTCCTTTTCATGTTAATCATCCTATTGCTATGAACTATTTCGAAAGTCTTTATTGTGAATGAAATTACTTGAGATCTTCACTATGGGAAAATGCATATTGTAAATTTTAAGACTTAAAAATTAGTTTTCAAGAAAGTCAATTTTATTTTTAAAGTGTTTATAAAATGTGCAAATCTGCGCTATTCTAATACTTTGCTTTTAGAATTATTAGACACTTACACCATTCAACTAGTGTATTAATGATTCCTTTAGAAATTACAGTGTTATTGAACTCTGTCATTCAAAAAAAATACCTCTCCAGAATATTACAACATAAAAATAAAAGGGTTTGTTTAGAGAAGTCATTATAGGAAAATGGTACCTTATTTTTTCAAGAAATTTAAGAATCTGCTTTACTTACAAACTGTTGATGACCCTCAGAGTATTATGTGTTCATTGTAGTATGTGCTTATAGAGTCTACTTGAACCTACCCATTACATGAGAAAGATTTCTGTGAGAAAGCCTTTTATTTGATCTGTTATTAGAGCCCCAGAGCAATTTATAAACAAACATCCCCAAAGGAAGCGTTATTATAAATAGGAATTGATTCTGTAATGGAATAGACACATTTGTCACACATTTGACTATCTTTCTAATCATGAAGCTCCAGTAAGCTATTTTGTTACTCTGTTACGGCTTAACACATCATTGGAAGGGGTATCAACAAATAAACAAATGTTTAAGCCCACAAACTTTAAGGGAATTCTGAGTCATGTACTGGCTTTGCAATTCTACTGCTAGCACTACTGCTAGCAGTGCAAAATATAGATATAAATCTCAGGGGTCACCAAAATAAACTTTACCTGGTTGGGACTTCCCTTATCAGGGCCTTCCAGTAAAAGTCTTGCATTTAAGGTAATGTTGCAATTCCTTTGTAGTAATGTAACTAGAGATTTTGTATATGTGGTCCACATCTTATTTTGATGTGGACTGTTATAGGTTAATCCTGCAGTACTTTGACTTAGCATAGTAAGTGAAGCATTAACTGATAATATCACCAGTGTCCACCTCAAGACATATGTAACGACCACATTTTGATTATTATCTTTCAGGCCTCAGTTACACAGAATATTATAATGAAAATGTACCAGAGATATCCAACATGATACCACTGGTTTCATTACTTGCAATGTACAATGCATAAAATGTGGCTGATAGTCAATAGCTGGATCAGCAGCATTAAGTGTAGCTGAAGTTGAACACAAACACACACACTGAACATACGGTATCTTTAAAAGAGAAAAACAAGTAACAAATGTGTGGCCAAGATTGAAATGTACTATCACAAGAGGTGACCTGAAGTCACCCAAACCAAAAATGGTTTGTGGTATAGGCGATTTTTTTTTTCTTAACTGGCCACCAACTCTTCACTGTGGTCTCATTTCCTAGTCAAATACTGGAGTTTGGGAATGATGCATCTATCCAGGAAGGCTTCAGTGCTCCATGGAGACGAAAGGACCCGAACTGTGCTCAGGCTGACAAGTGATGGCCCCTGACAAATTGAAATATCCGGTCCAGTTGTTTTGCATATGTTTAACACCGGCTGGCTTTGAATTTAAAAATATGACTTTCTGTCTCCAGAAAGTTTAAGTGAAAAATGGTTCTTTTTTGTTCGTCTTTTCAAAAGAGCATCAGAATGCTTTCATACAATGTGTACATTCACTATAAAACCTAATCAGGCACACTGGGGGGGGGGGTAAGTTGACTCCAATTGATACCTGGTTTAAAAAAATAAAATAGGCAAACCAAGGCATGTGAAAGTAGGGTTTGTCATGGAAACAGCATGTTAATGGGACCATAGCTTTATGGTTTTCCAGGCAAGTCTTATTTTGCCACTAGTATTGAAAGAAACAAAAGAATACACTGGTTGTCTATATGGTACATAATTTAAAATAAATGGTTTTTTAAAAACAAAGTCTGGTGGTGACTTAAAAATGTCTTCGAAAGCTATTTATAAAAACATAAAATCTTTCTGCATCAAATTTAAGGACACCCACAATAAGAATGCTTTATATTTATTTCTTGGATGGAAACAAATAATCTTAAAAATTTTTTTCCAGAAATTATCTGATTGAATTACTTAGTGAGGAAACATGTTTTAATTTGGTCTAAGAACTGTATTTTTTTTTATGTCTACACAAAAAATATATGTACTATAAATATGGCTACTATATCAATATAACAAAGAAAGATAATAGTTATTAAAAATTGAGTGCTATATTTGCAGATTTTATTTTTCTAAGGTATTTTGCTTTTCAGAGGCTATTCCTTGAGGCTTTCTGTCTGGCATTTTCCATTTCTTATAACCTTATTTCCATGAAATGTACAACTAAACTTTGCATCTTTTATATAAAATTAGTATAAGTGTATCCTTATGTGTATATGTATATATAGATATAATATAGATATCTATTTATATATCTATATACACAATATAAAAATAAAAATAGAATTTTTTCTATACAAATGTTTTTATATAAAAGTATAAATTCATCTATACAAATATAAATTCTGACTTAATGTAGAACAATTAGATAATTCCTGTGGAAAAGGTTCTTTGCACAATATAAATAGGATCTTTAGAAGCAAACAACAAAACAGCCTTATACAATTCACGTTGTTTAAAGTGCTTATAAACATCGTCAGTTAACCATTTATTGATTGTCTATTTATGGTTTGAGAATATCCATGATTATGGAAAAGATACTACCTCATAAAAATTGTGACAAGGGTGATGGTTGATTTTTTAAAAACCTCCATATTATAAAATGCTTACTCCTTGAAAGAAAAAAATCTTTTTTATTATAATTAGAGTTCTCTTTTTAATAAGACTCTGAGTAAAGAAATAATTTACAAATTTCTGTTACATTGTTACTGTCATGAAAGCAGCTCTTTTCTTGGACTTCATGTCAATCACAATGCATGTAGGATAATTCTTTGCAAGGAATGCTCTGAAGGCTTAAGGATAGAGTTTTTCATTCAATTTCTGAATTTTTATACTGTGGGATTGGCTGTGAGACACTCTAGAGTGTAAAGACAGTTCAGACAGTTCCAGCTCTATTATTTTCAGGCACAAAAACCATATAATTTCGTACAAAACTTTGATTTTTTATTTGCGAAATTAAAAATATGGTAATATATATATATAAATTTCTATTCCTCTATAAATATAGATGATTTTGTGATAGTGAACAGAATAAATGCATACCAAATTCAAAGACCATTGTCATTTTAGGGTATGACAGACATATATAAATTTAGGCCCTAAGTACCGGTATTTTGATAAACTCTTAAAGTTTAAAATAATACAATCAGGAGGATTGCTTTTCTCCTTTTTTTTTTTTTCCACAGAGAACTAAAGTATTTTAAAATGGCTTCGAAAGATTTACATTTGACACATTTCTGTAAATCCAAAAAGGAGCACACAGGATTTAATGCGGTAGACCTGCACACATTTCCCCTTTACCATGCAAGCCCATATTTTATTTCAGGAGCTAATCCCGTCAAATATGTCACCTCCTTTACCTCCTGGAATCTTACCAGGTTATTATTAGTGATGTGAATTGTTCCTCCCTCAGAATGTGTTGCTCAATAATAATCATGATATATTGAAAGTGTACAACTTTTACATCTCAAAGTTTCTGATATATGTCTAATTATTACTTGATTAAAAACAAGAAAGTAGTACTTCATTTTGAGGAAGTCCATTACACTGAAATCTCCTTCAAGTTTTCATATTCAGTTTATGCTCTGCTGTCCTGTAAAGGAAAGCAAATATCAATCCCTTAACAAGCCTTTCCAGGTGGCCTCAGCATTTCCATGTTACAGAATGGTAAAACCTAAAGGCAGGCAGGCGCCTCAGTGCTGGAGGCAGATTGCCAGGTATCAGTATGCAATTAGAATGAACATATTATAACCCCATCTTCAGTCTCTCCCAACCCACACAAAGCTTCATGCCTCTTCCCAAATCTCAGTAACCACATCTTTCCATGACGTTGGCCAAACCCAAACCAGGTTTTAGACACTAGAGAACGAAATGAGCTCACTCACCAAAAATTACACTTAAAAGTTTGGCATGGGTTATCCCACCCACCCTTCTAACCAACTTAGGTGGGAGGAGGGAGTGGCTGGGCGTCCCGGGACCGTGCGGAAGAAAGCCCGGACTGTTAGCGCCCACACCCCGCCCACACCCCTCCGCCTCTTTTAAGTTGGGGGAAAGGTTCCCCACAGTGAAATCCTCGGTTTCGGGAAGCCAAAGGGACAACGAGCCTTCTCCGGACAAAGGCAGAACTGGGATGGGTGAAGAGTCACCCATGAATCTGGAAGATCTGTGGAGTTTTGTACCTTAAAAGCCCGGACCCCAAGAAAGGAAGGGAAGGGAAGGGAGGGAGCAGAAAGAGCAGTCAGGAAGAGACCCGCTGCGCAGTCCCAGACGCACCCCACCCGCAGCGGGGGAGCCACATACCGGGAAGAGGCGCACCCAGCTGTAGCGCTCAGGTTTTATCTCTGCAGTTCTCCAGAAAGGGCAAGAAGTAAAAGCCTCAAAGCAGTAAACTGCCCTAATAATTAAAACTTAAAAAAAAAAAAAATAAGTAAAGTAGAAGACAAAACGCGTGATCGGTCATCATTTAAATACAAATATACTTACAAAAATCTTACACAAGCTATTTACAATAATAAAAGCATACAGTCCTGGTACAGGAGTGTAAGAGCTAGAGGTCTGTTCTCTCCCTCCCCCACCCCCCACCTCTGGCAGTTGGACCCTCTGTTTCCTTTGCCCCCGGGGATGGAAGCTTTTGCAGGAGCTGTGCAGTTAGACTAAGCCTGCGAAACTGAGCGTCTAGTGAGGAAACCTGGAGTAGCCAGACACGGCGAGGACTCCATCGGGATAGCTTCTGGGGGTGGGGGAAGGGGGTGGGGGTGAGGTGGGGGGGGAAGGGTATCTGGGCCGGGCTGAAGGTAGGGAATGGGCTGAGACCCGGGGGGGCTCAGACGGTGGTCTCCCCCTGTTTGCTGTTGGTGAGCCTGGTGTAGAACTTCCTCCAGGAGTTAAGAGTCTTGCCGGACCAGATCCAGAAGCCTGACGTGATCCCCACGATCAGCGTCATAAGGTACTTGATCATGAAGACTGTGAAGTCGGGGCTCATGGGAGGGTGCGGCGGGGTGCCCCCACCGGCCTGGAGATGGGGACAGGGGATCGCGTAGCTTTTGCAGCTCTGGGCCACCCAGCTGCGCTCCCACTGGTCCCGGAAGGCCTGCTCATAGAAGTAGCAGGCGATGACGATGGTGGCTGGCACCGTGTACAGCACGCTGAAGACACCGATGCGCACCATGAGCTTCTCTAGCTTCTCGGTCTTGGTGCCATCGTGCTTCATAATAGTGCGAATGCGGAAGAGTGACACAAAGCCGGCCAGCAAGAAAGATGTTCCGATGAACAGGTACACGAAAAGGGGAGCCAGCACGAAGCCGCGCAGTGCGTCCACGTTGTTGAGCCCCACGAAGCACACCCCGCTCAGCACGTCGCCATCCACCTGGCCCAGCGCCAGGATGGTGATGGTCTTGATGGCCGGCACGGCCCAGGCAGCCAGGTGGAAATACTGCGAGTTGGCCTCGATGGCTTCGTGACCCCACTTCATGCCGGCCGCCAGGAACCAGGTGAGCGACAGGATCACCCACCAGATGGAGCTGGCCATGCTGAAGAAGTAGAGCATCATGAAGAGGATGGTACATCCCTCCTTCTTGGTGCCCTGCGCCACGGTGCGCGCCCCGTCCTCGGAGAACTTGTCGTTACACACCACCCGGTCCTCCAGCAGGAAGCCGGCGATGTAGGCCACGGCCACCGCGGTGTAGCAGCCCGACAGGAAGATGATGGGCCGCTCCGGGTAGCTGAAGCGCCGCATGTCCACCAGGTAGGTGAGCACGGTGAAGAGCGTGGAGGCGCAGCACAGCACCGACCAGATGCCGATCCAGGTGCGCGAGAAGCGCAGTTCCTCGGGCCCAAAGTACATGAGCCCGTACACCTTCGTGGGCTCGCAGGGCGCGCCGCAGTCCTTTTCCCCCAGGAAGTGGTAGTTGAGGTAGGAGGGCACCTTGAGGGCGCGCGGGCAGGAGAACTTGCCTCGCTCCGGCCCGCCAGCGCCCCCCGAGCCGCCGCCGCCGCGGTGCCCCCGCCGCCGTGCTGGGGGTTGCTGGTCCAGAACTCCGGCAGCAGCGAGGGCGTCGGGGTGCCCTTGTCCGAAGTGTTCTGGCCCACGCACAGCTCGCCCGCGCCGTGCACCGGGAACTTCTCGCACTTGAGCGTGTCGGGCCACTGGAAGCCGAACTTGTTCATGAGCGCCTCGCAGCCCTGGCGCGCGCGCTCGCACAGGGAGCGGCAGGGCGGCAGCGCCTGCTCCAGCACCGTGCACACGGGCGCGTACATGGAGCACAGGAAGAACTTGAGCTCGGCGGAGCACTGCACTTTGACCAGCGGGTAGAACTGGTGCACCTCGAGGCCCGCGTCCTCCTGGTTCGTGTGGCCCAGCAGGTTGGGCATGATGGTCTGGTTGTAGGCGATGTCCGTGCACAGCGGGATGGAGATGGGCTGGCAGTAGCCGTGGTCCGGGATGGAGATGCCCCGCTCGCCGTTGTACTGCTGCCCGCCCTGCTGCTGCTGCTGCTGCGGGGCCGGCGGCGGGGGCTGCTGGCCCGGCCCGGGCCCCTGGCCCGCCGCCTGCGCCCGGACCCCCAGCAGCAGCGGCGCCTCCAGCAGCCCGAGCAGCAGCAGCAGCCAGCGCGCCAAGCGCCCGGGGTCGGCCGGGGGGCGGCGGCGGCGCCCGCCGGCCCGCCCGGCCCCCGCCGCCGCCCGGAGCGCCCCGGCGCAAAGTTCCCAGCTCGCGCGGCCGCCGGCGGCCCGGGACCGCCGAGGCGCCTCCTCCTCAGCCATACTTTCTCGGCTCCCGGCTCGGCGCCGCTCGGCTGGGGCTGGGGCTGGGGCTGGCGGCGGCTCCCCGGGCGGCCGGGGACGTCTCCCCCGCGCCGGCGCGCTCCGTCGAGCCCCCGCCGCTCCCGGCCCGCGCCCCGGCTCCCGCTCCGCGTCCCGCAGCCGCCGCCGCCGCGGAAACTTGCGATTCATGAAGCGCGGGCGGCGGGAGGGACCTGGGCGGCTCGGGCTCGCCGGGTCGCGTCCCGCCTCCCCCGCGCGCGGCTCGCCGGCTTCCGACCCCGGCGCCGCGCTAGTGGCCGCGGCCGGGCAGAGCGCGCAACTCTCGGCAGACCCGCGGCCTCGGCTCCCCCCTGCGCCTCCGCCTCCTTCTCCGCCGCCGCCGCCTGACCATTTGTGTCAATCCCTCAACTCGCGGCTCTGCTCTCCCTCGCGCGCCCTCGGACCGGTTTCCAGGCGCCCCGCAGTCTGTCTTTCACCAGGAGGGAGGAGCCTTGAAACCGACGCGGAACGGCAGGCTCAGGGACCGTCGCCCAATCGCCGCACCGGCTTCCCGGCGCAAAGGGCGCCCGCCGCGGGCTTCGCGGGAGGGAGGCGGCCCCCGCGGGAGGCGGCGCGAGGAGGAAGTCGGGGCGCCGGCCGAGGCCCCGCTCGGGCACGGAGGGTGGGTTTGCCCTGAGGCGGGACAGGCTTGGTTGCTTCTGCTTTTGCGGAGGAAAGGGCGAGGGCCGGGGTGGAGAATGGGCCCGTACGCTGCTGCGGACAATGAGTCGGAGTCGCTGGAGCGCGGGACTTAGTTTTCTCGTCTTGTGTCGTGTCGGTGTTCGCGTTGGAGAAGCTGCTCTTAGACGCCGCGTGCAAGCTGCAGACCCAGCCCTGCCATCCCATGCCTTTCTTTGCCTTGAGAGCTCACAGCTTCCTTTGCCCTGTGTTTGTCGAGGGTTTGTTTAAAATATTGTTTTGCTCCATCTCAGAGCTCGCAGGCGGGGTCGGGCCGACTTGGGCGCGCCATTTCTCCCGAGGAGAAGCGCGCAGGGCCACTGTCAAAAGAAGAAACACAGCAAAGCAAACACAAACTCTGATGGAATTTTAAAAAGTAAATGCGCCGTCCCCTAGTGATTTTCTTCTTGCAGTCAAACTTCTTTTTCTTCTCTTTAATCAAGTCAGTAACAGAAGCAAGGAGAAACCATCTATTAAGTACTGAGAGAGAAAAATTGGAGACCCCAATACGACTTCCCATCGGGAGCTGCATCCACGCCTCAGCCCCCAGAGGTGGCTCTAAGGCAGAGTTGCGCTTTAAGCAACCTGAGATTTGGGGAGCTGCCGTGAGCCTTCCAAAGCCCCCCTCCCCGGGACCCAAGATGGGGAAACTCTTGGGAGACTTAGACCTGGGCCATTAGATTTCATGGAACGGGGTGCAGCATGGTCTCCCACCAGTACAGAGTTGGGGATGCCAATTTAAAAAACAAATGAAGTCTGAAAGCAAATAGCAAACTGCACATTCCCTTCCTAATTCCAAACAGCACTCCATCTCGCGGATTTATATTCTTGGGGTGGTTATATGGGTTCGATTTTTAGAACTCATGGTTTAACTACATGACTCAATTTTATGAATAAAGTGCCATTGTGTTATTTACTGTACATAGAATTTCTTGACTTATAACCAGACTCTCTCTGGGGATTCTTATCTACAGTTATTTTATATAATTTCTTTATCCACTTACTTGTTTTGTATAACTTACTAAGCACCTACTATGCTATAAGCACTGTTAGGTAGTGGAGTACAAAGATGAACCAGACCCTCTGTTCTGGCAATTGGACCCTCTGTTTCCTGTGCCCTGCATGGTACAGTGGGGCACAGAAATGCATGTCTGTTGCCATAACGCCCACAGCAAAGCTGGAGGAGCACAAGGAAAGCCACCAACTCAGATAGGAAGGGGTGGAGAGAGTTCTGGTGGAGGGCTGGCTCGAAAGTGCTAAAGATAGGAGCTCTGAAGTCTTAAATTGCTCAATAGGGGAAGGGTATGGTTGAGATATTATGAAGAAGGCAGGAGAAAAAGGTTCTAGTCCAGACTGAAAAGTTTGGCAAGAACTTACAGATAATAGGGAATGATTGAAGGTCATTTTTGCCTATTTGAACAGAAGGTGGCTTCAGGGTGACTGAAAGAGGGTATCTCAGACCTACTGTCACTGGAAAACTTGAGCATTAGTCTAGACATCATGGTGATCACTTAAGAGGGATGTTACTTGAACCACATATTTATAGGGTGTTTCATTTACCTGTTAAAATGAAATATCTATTTGTATCTGATACATGTTGTTATTCAAATGTTCATGGGTGCAGTAAATTCATTAAAATATGTATTTCTTTTAATGTACTTCTGGATTCTTTGTTTATTAAAAGAAGAAGTGATAGTACTAAATGTGCGGTAGATATCGTATGTGCGCGCATGTGTGTGTGTGAGTGTGGTGTGTGTTATCAGTGATCATGAAATATAAGATATTTAAAAGGAGGTTAGAAAGCAAAGGTGCTCTCTCAGGTCCATAACTGTGTAACTGTTCATTTTGCCTCCAGCATCCCGCTGCACAATCTCCTAGGGACAGTTTTTCCACTCTGATGCTCATCCTCTGCTGACATTAACCCATCCTTAGAAACTTCAACAAACCATCTTACTTCTATTATTCCTCTCTTGTTAAGACTTATTTGTCTTGTGTTCCCTCTTCTCAAGGTCATTGGAGGTGACCAGGTTGAGTGAAAAGTAAATTTATTCAGAAGTATTTATTACCAAGAAGCATCACATGTAGGAAGCATCAGCCGCTATCATTCCAAACCCTGCCCCCGTTTTCCCCAGTGGATCAGGGCACAGGGAATAGGGCAGAAAGTTCAGTTCTGTTGCTCAAAGTGGGTCATTTTCCTGCTTCAAAAGTTGTCCTGTTGAAATTCTTGAGCTTGTTTTATCTCCCCCAGGAAAGTGAAGTTTACTAGGGAGGAGGCTGAGGTATGATCAGAATTAAAAGAAAGTCATTCTTTCCAGCTCATGGAACAGGCAGGAACCAAAGACATCATCTAGGAACTAGTTAATTTTTTCCAGTTTACAATTAAGAATACAAGGCCCAGAAATATTAAAGGAGGCACTACAGGTTAAATGGTCTAGTTTGGCCTGAATTTCATTAGATTTTTATTTTAACCCTGTGTTTTTTTTTAGTAACTACCATTCTTTTCATCTTAAAAGACAAAACTATGTTCTGCTCAATAGTTCAAGAACACTTGAAGTTTTTCCTAATCAAACTATATAAAAGACTTTGTAAGAAAAAGTTATTTCTTGTGAGATGTCTTCAAAAAAAAAAAAAAACCAACAACCAAACACCTGGATTTTTAATTTATTTTTTATACCAACACAGTATTTCATTTATCAAGTCTATGTGATACAAAGGAAGCTATTAAAAGTCAGGAACAGTTCAGAGTTGTAACCAGTAGCAGTCGACATTGTAGAAGGCCTTTTGGGAAGGTGACCAGGGTGACACTGGATAAGAAAATATTAGAAGAGAAATACAAGCAGTATATTTTCACTTTAGCCTCTAATATGATAGTTTTTCAGGAAGTGCAAAGGTTTGAGATCCACAGATAAAAATTGCTAAATAAGTGTGAACTTCTATGAACTATGTAATAAAAATATTTCAATTAGATCAAAAGCATAAACATCACCCTCCTTGATACTGGCTCCTCAAGCATCAGACTTAGTCAGGTTTTCTTGTATCAAAGATCTTGTTGTATCAGACCTTTCCCAAACTTTTGAAGTTTCTCTAGACTGCTTATGTCAGGGTAACTGTGGATAATTAGCCAGACTGAAAAGGCAGTTCCAGTCTCCTGCAGCCGAGGGCCGAATGAGCAGCTTGGTGCAAGGTCCAAGGGCACCCTCGAGGACCTGAGCTCGTCAGTGAGTTGTTTTGTTGGTGGCTTGTGGGTGGCAGACTTGAGTTGACTTTGTTAAGTACCAGAGATCATAACCCGGGTTAAGACTATATTTTTGAACACCTGCCATATGTATTTGACATTGTTTTTCTTAATGTGTTGCTTAAACTTTACAACTCTTTGAGGTAGGTACTAATTATTATCTTCTTTTAAGAAATGAAGAATCTAAGGCTCAAAGTAGTTGAGTAACTTGTCTAAGTTCCCAAAGCCACTTAAGTTCATAGGAAGCCTGTGTCTGACTGTCTATAGGCTTCCATTGAATGAACATGTTCACTTTTAAAGATTGTAAGTGCAAATGACGTTTCTGGATGCAGTTTGTGTGACTCCACAATATTTAACTTTGTTTTTTTATGCTAATATATAGATGGTAGGGACATCAACGCTGGGACTCACTGATAAATTAGAACATTTTCCAAATTGCATTCTGTGAAATACAATATTTTCCCCAAGGGTGTTCTAGGAAATATATTTGTTCAAATAAATTTGAAAAAAAAAGCCATATTCTATATCCTTATTTTAGATTCTTATTAGTCTGACAAAATCTCTGAGAAGTCCTAAAGTGAAGAATCTTATTAAACTTTGTCTTAGTAGTGTATTTCCCGTCATTGGAATAGACACATACACATGCGCATTTGGAATTCACACACATTGTAGAAATATTTTTGCCTGACACTCATGCCCTATGGAATAGAATTTAAAATGTTGGATTCTGGCCTCCCTTGTGGCACAGGCGGTTGAGCGCAAGGCTGTAAAGTTGTCCTCAGCCTCTGCAGTGCCGGTTCCATCCCCACTGGTGGTGGACATACCCTGATGGCGAGAGCACACCCCTCCTGTCTTGCCCGCTGCTCCCCTCAGCAGTGTATTTCAGTCAGTCTGCCTGTTCTGTTCCCCACTCTGTCTTTGGTGAATCCTCTCATCCTCTCGCACATTTGACCTGTACCCTGGTTCTTGTATAAATAAATAAATCTTAAAAAAAAAAAAAGAATGTTGGATTCAACCTAATATATCATGAAACTGAACTTTTTATAAG